TATCTCCTTCAGTTTGAATTTTAATGTTTTGTTCCATACAATAACTGCAGGTGTCTTGGCGTGGATGTCCAAAACTTATGTTAAACTTTGTAGTAAATATTTTCTGATATTTGCTCAAAGAAGCAGTTTGTTTTTTTTCTAATTTTCTTTTCTCATACCAATTTTCCCACATATACTTAATAGAATATGTAGGTGGTAAATAGCTTCGGCCAGTATCCTTACGTGTATGATGAATGTTTCTGCATTTGAAAGCTTTAATATGTTCTTTTATTGAATCTGTTATTTCATCTTGAATTAAATCAACACGAATACCACCTCTTTTTTCAGTAGGACTAGAATGATTTTGTTTGAATGTTTTACTTATTATATTTAATCGTCTTCTAGTTATTGATGTAACAGAAGAAAATGCATCAAGACAAACTGGTATTAAATTACCTCTTATTTGTGGTATAAAGTATTTCACAACCATGCGATGAGATCTATTAGTTTTTTTACGGTCAGTTCGTTTGACATCACTTACAGTCATCATTGTAATTAGAAATTTATCCTGTTCAATTTTTGTAGTTAATTTACACAAATTATGTTTAAAATCAGTCAAGTCTTCTTCTGATAGTTCACTAACTCTACACACATTTTTCTTTATCATTTCAGTATGATTACATTTTAATTCCAATTCTCTTGGTATAATATTTCTTTGTAATTGTTTTTCTTTTCTTTTATTTTGAATTTTTCTCTTTCTACCTCCAATAGTTTCAGTTATAGGATCAATATATTCTGGATCATTATTTATTGATACATTTGATACTGATTCCATCAAAGGAAGAAAATCAGTATTTTCTAAAATCAAATTAGCATCAACTGTTGATGTATTTGGTTCAATTAATATTTGACTAGTTAATATTCTTTCTGCATATAAATTTAATGGTCTAAAATCAGTCTCAGCATCTTTAGTGGTAATGTTATTATTATTTTGAAACAGTTCTATATTCATGCATGATGTATTTGTTTCATTAGAGATCTCAATCAATATTGTATTATTTACTATTTTTCCTTCAATATTTAGAGGCTGTACATCTGTAATTATTTCAACATCCATGTCTTCAATATTTAGGTTTGTTACAGAATAGTTCAAATCAGCAGTTTCCTAAATTTAGTTATTATTATTATATTAAATATATTTCTTTAAATATAATATATTAACTTAATATTTAATGTGTAAAAAAAAAATTAATACAAACAATATTGTATTAGAAGTATTATTATAATACTTAAAGATTTTAATTGTAAATATAATCTATTAGATATTTAGGTTTCCCAATAACAATATATTATATAATTTAAATTGTCTACCCTAATAATAAAAATATATAGAATTCAATAGATTTAAGTTAAATTTTATAGCATAATCTTAATTATTTGATAAATTGGACCAAAGTCCAATATATTATTATTATATTATTATAATATATTGTAAGTTATAGTAAAAAAATAATATAAATAAAATAAAACATAACAGCTATGATACAAAATCAAAAGAACTAGGTATTTTTATTATTAAATAGTATTTAAAGTAATACCCAGCATACATTTATTATGAATTTAACTATTTTTCAATTTATTCTGCATAATATTCTATTATATAATTCATCTATTATGAAATCAATTTAATAGAATAATTAAAATATTATAAAATTATTTTATTTTTTAAAATAGGTATTCCTACAAATTTCTAGGTATCAGTAATACATAAGTATACAGTATTTATCTACTGTTCAATGATTTAACAATATAATAATTAAAAGTCTTACATAAATAAAGTTGTAAACCAATAAATTCATTTTTTCATACCTCTAACCACCTTGAAACTTTTTTAATGGATTCATCAACATCCATTTCTTCTTTAGTTTGACTAGTTTGAGTATCATTTTTATTTTTGCTTAAACCACATGCGGCCATTTTAATGGTTCTAGAGTTAAACATTTTAAATACCTACAAATAAAAAATTAATAAAATGTCTCGTAAAATGTACATGCAATTATTAGTAGGTAATTAAAACAAATAACAATGAACCAGTACAGAGAATGAGAGAACAGTAGATGAATTATTGTATTATCATAATACTATGATAGTCATCATACAAACTTTTGGAGGGAAATAATTTGTGATAACATTCAACACCAAGACTTATACTGAATTTTTTCAGTTGCACCAACTAGTAATTAAAATAAAATAATGTAGTCCCATATTATATCACCATGAAATAATTAAAGAATAATTAATTCAAATTGAAATGTCAACTTCACCTTTTACTCTTGGAAATAGTACGTTTTGCAAATAATTAATTTAGTATAGCTACATTTTAACATGGAAAATATAACGTTTTGCTTCAATCTGGAAATAGTACGTTCTGCACATAATTTAAAAAATAGTACGTTTTGCTTTAATAATTATTAAATTTACACTTAATAGCATGGGAAATAGTACGTTTTGATGTAATTTGGAAATAGTTCTTTTTGAAACGATTTTAGCGATGGAAATGGTGCGTTATGCAGAAATCATGAAACTTTATGATCAAATATGCACTGGAAATAGTACGTTTTGGCCAAATCTGAACACGCCATTCGATTCCGCGTGGTTCTTACTATCAGAAATGATGTATAACTCAATTTTGATATTTTTGGCAATAGCACGTTTTGCATTGTCGCCCCTCAATTATGACAGCACTAAATAATAGTATATATCCGCCCTAGACAAATGGTTGGACACTATAAAATCAGACCTAGCAAAGATATTGCACCAAAAACAGAACTAGCAGGAAGTGAAAATAGAGAGAAGTGGCAAGAAATTGTGGAAGCAGCGAAGGCCCTCAATGGGCTAAAAAAGCTAAAAAAAAAAAAAAATAATAATAATAATAATATATAGTATTCTATTAATAGAGATGATTAGTTCACTCGTGATCCATTCCTTGGGTTCTATAATTTTTTTTATTTTAGATTCAGATTGGAACGAGAATGTATTGATTTTACAATGTTGTGTGTTTTTTATTTTTGTGTGTGTACACGATTAGTAGTCGAAATAATGCTTGGATTTTCAACTTCAGTATCTTGTTTGATGGGAAAGTGAATCTATAGTTGATACCTTTTTAAAAAATCTTAACTTTAAAACACATGACATTTTCACTGGTTGTTTATATTTCCATTTTCTATGCATGATAAAATTTTCATGTTTTCATGTTATCAAATTTTTAAATTGATATGATTAATTTGGAATTTAATATAGGTACCTATTATAGGTCAATTTTTTTTAATAAGAAATACATTTTTGGATTGATTAAATTTGATTACAATGTGGTCTGTCAACGACTAGTGTTCCATAAAATGGTCCATTTTTTTTTTATTGAATGGCACTCGAAAAGTAAAGGAGTTGACGAACAAGGTAAATAACACAAAATTGTCACAAAAAATAAAAGATTTTGAAGATGGAAAATTGAAAAATATTAAGGATACAGATAAGATGAAAAGACAAAAGCTACTAGACATTACTTCTACTGCTATCCTCTTTTTTGATGCGGTGTAGGTAACTCCCAAAGCAACTATGCCCGCTGAGTAACTGGGTAAGGTGGTACGTTGTTCGACCATGCTTCCTATTACACCACGCCGCTATGTCGGGAATTAAGGCCCTTGTCCAAACTCCGCTGTCGGTGTCACTCAGTGTGCTCAACTGCTCCATCCATCGCCGGATTGTCCTCTGGCGGACAGAGAGTCTTCTGGGGGGAACCTAACCTAACCTATTATTATTATTATTATTATTGTATAGGCAAACGTATAGTGTATATCAAATTATTATTGGAGACTAGATTTTTTAAAACGTAGGTATAACTTTTTTTTTAAATATTATTATTGTATTGACATCGACAACCATTTCTTGGGGAAACGTAATGTATATCAAATTATTAATATTATTGTATAGCCAAAAGTAATGTAAATATTATAAAATGTTTAATTTTTGTAGCTAAACCTAAAGATTGAAACTTTAAAACAACAAGGTTTAGATTTTTTATTACCCCTATATACCTATTATTGTATTATTTGTATATTGTGACATTGTGTCGGTAATCGCAGAAATAATAAGAAGTAATAAAATATATTATTATTAAAAAAAAAAATGTTTTAAATAAATATTAAGAGGACGTGATACCCGCATGTGTTGTCTCCGTCTTACAAGTACATAACAGCAAATTTTACGTTCAGCAAAACACGTATAGCTCCGATAATTTTAAAATTAGAGTAAATTAAGCTCTTGTAAAACCTAAAGGTAAGATTATTATCTAGACAACCTCATGGGCTTTTTTTAATATTTTAATTTTTAAGCTAGATATGAGTACTTTAAGATCTATAAATAATTTACAATTTTAAAATACTCATAGTTCGCTTAAAAATTAAAATATTAAAAAACGGTCATGAGGTTGTACAAAAAGTTATATACAACTCAAATTATAATTATTAAGATTTAGATACATCAAAAATCTCAAAAGGAACATTTGATGAATAAGAAATAAGATGCTATTAAATTTATATAATATTTCCTTAAACCTACAGTGAGGTATAGTATATGGGATGCGTTTTTTTTACAGTGGTTACCCCAGTAGGCCTAATCCACTGTTTTTTTTTACGTGGTATCATCCCCCGAAAGGCCTAATCCACGACCGAACCAACGGCAAAGTTTTTTTTAACGTGGTATCCCCTAGGCCCTAGGGCCTAATCCACGAACCGAACAACGGATAACAAAAAAAAAAAAAAAAAAAAAACCTCACAGCTCATTTAAGGACTCCAACTTCTTTTTCAGATCCCGCACCTTGGTCCTAATGGACGAAATGGTCCTGGGAGTTTTGTTGAACGTTGGCGTGTTCAACAACTTCCGTAGGCCATCAGCGGTATTCAGTATCGGGCCCTGGCCTAAAATGAGACGTCTCAAAGTCTTCTCCTCCTCGAAACTGAACTTCACCTTAACCGGTTGAAATATCCGGCCCGTGAGGGAGCATACCGGACGAAACCATTGTCGTCCCACCGACTCTTCCTCCTGCTACCGGGAGCCAATTGGCGGCACGGGAATAGAATTGACACTCTGGTGTAGTCTAAGTGCCGTGCCTCACCAAACGCCAAGAACCTCAGTATCAACTCCGAGTCATAGACGCTCGCCAGCAACTACAACAGCAAAAACATAATTAAAACATTAACCTCACCTACCCCAGTAAGATAAACAAGCAATAAACTTACACGATTGTGGAAGTGGGCCGTTTGCAATTTCTCCACCAAGTCCACGAGCCGACTCAATGTGTCCAACATCAAGGATTTGACATAGTAATGCCAATCCTTTGTTGAACACACGAGCAACCCCTCCGTGAGACAGAACTCGGACATCCGAGTTCCGTATGTGGCCATCAGCGACAACACCGCACACGATGTGTCACCACTGACCACACACTCGAAACGGAAGCCCGAGCCCCGCACCGCGTCCCGCAGAAACGCCCTGTACGCGGCGATTAATTGGGCGGCACAGTTGCCGATAGGCCCTAGGGAAGCCATTCGGCTTTCCCGACAACTATCACCGCCCAACAACAGCCACGTGAACACGGACATATCACTGAGACCGCGGCGAAGGATGTGCACAGCGGGGTTGTACGCCTGCACGTACCGGCACATAGGGAGAAGGTGCTAAATCATACGATAACAATCGTTAAATATAATGGATGGTATTAAATTTGAATTCAATGATATAATATCATTGTATAAGAAAAACGATTCTGAGTGGAGACGGTATGTCAGTCTAGGTATAAGACATATTATATACCTACTTATATCTATGGTATTAAAAAAAATTGACCTATAATAGGTACCTATAATAAATTCCAAATTAATCATATCACAATATCCATTAGATACTTATAACGTGTTATACATCAACAACAAACCGTGATACTATCATAGATATAAAATAGTGTACTTTAGAAGTTTCAAGTACCCACGAATAATATTATACAATCACAACAAAATAACTAAAATAGTTATTCTAGATTTTTTATTCAGTAATTTCATCCAAATTTGAACTTAAAATGACTATAAAAATAAACTGTGCTTATGTATATTTTAGATTTTTGGTAACAGAATTAACTACTTACAGGGAATCTTGTTTTAAATTTTCAATCCTTAGATATAAAAGTTGAACATTTTATACATTTTTAACTACAAAATAATTATTCAATTTTAAATTTTATAAATTTTGTCAAAATTCGATCTTTAAATGCTTGTAAAAAAAATTGTGCCTATGTATTTTAAATATTTTTCAACTGATATTGTAACAATATATCAGGAGCCTTGTATTAAATTTTTACACTTTTTGGCCTAACAGATAAAACTTTATCGATATTTATAGAAAAACAAAACTAAAAAAATTGAAAACTGAAAATGTCCGTAACAGCTCAAAAAGAGTCAAAATATTTTTAAAACCGTATGGTGTATAGGAAATGCTAATATGAACATTCAGTTAAATTTTTATGTATCTACAGTTATTCGTTTTTGAATTACAACAAAATAAGGAAATCGCTACATGAGAAATCGAGTTTCTCGAGAAAATTTAGTTTGACTTTCCGGTAGAGATTTTTTTATTCATAAAGGTAGACAAACTTATGAGTAATCTTGTATTACATTTTCAAATCTTGGATTTAAAAAGAAACATTTTTACGAATTCTTAACTCAAAAATAATTTGCAAATTTTCGTGATTTTTCCATATTTTGCCAATTTTTGAACTTTAATTGCTTATAAAAAAAAACTGTGACCAAGGATTTTTAATATTTTTCATCTGCATTTGAAACAATATATTAGGAGCCTTCTATTAAATTGTCAAGCTTTTTTATCCAACAAATAAATTTTTATTGATATTCATAAAAAAAAAACTAAAAAAATATGGAAAATGAAAATGTGCCTAAACAGTTCAAAATAAATCAAAATATTTTAAAAATGTTATCGTGTATAGCAAATGTAAATATAAACAACCAGTGAAAATTGCATGTATCTACGGTCATTTGTTTTAAAGTTACACCAAAAACCAAATTCAATTTTCTGAAAAATCGATTTTGCGTAAAAATTCCCGTTTTTCCTTAATTTTCCTTTTGTTTTTCTTGGTGCTTTTGAAAAGTACTTGGAATTTTAAATTTTGACCTCCCCAATGCACCAACGATATTCACTTTCCAATCGAACAAGATACTGAAGTCGAAAATCAAAGCATTATTTCGACTACTTATCGTATACACAGACACAAAAAAAAAATATAAAAACACACATCATTGTAAAATCAATACATTCATCGTTTCACTCAGAATCTAAAATCAACATTAAGTAATTTAAAAGAAAAAAATTACTTGGTGGGACGGAGCAACTCGGTCGGCCGTAAAGTACCCATGGTCATACACACCCAGACCAGGTTAAAACTTTACACCACTCAGCAACGCCTGGGCTGCATGCCGGTCCACAAGCACGGCCCTCACCGACGACCTCATTGTAAATTCAACGCCAAAATGGCATTGAACAATAACAATGGTGGCGTGGTAAGGGTCAATGTACCGGTTAATAAGGCTCAGGGCAGCATCTTGTGGCAGCTGCAAGCCATGCAGCGCAACATAAAACCTACAATTCAATAAATTAATGTACAATTACACTAAGGAAAATAAAATAGAAATACACAAGATGACACTTACAAAAAACTGCCTAACGTGCCGGCTTCGGTGGTCAACCGCTCCACCTCGTATGCCAACTTCGGCCAGTCGGAGGGGTGGAGGTGCCACTTACTACCGAATGCATTGCCGGCCCTCCTACTACGACAGCCTGAGCCCAACTTGAGGATAGCTGGGCCCAGAACTGTGTCCAGGAAATACTTCCTGTAATCAAAGTGGACAACCTGTTCGACGTCGAGCTCGTCCTCCGAGGTGTCCGAAGTAACTTCGGAGGAGTGATGACCCGTCGGTATGCTCACCAATACCCTTATGGGTGGGTCGCCACCCATGGTGAACTCGACGTTAGAGTATGCTATAAAATTAAAACAAATTAATAAACCTAACCTAACCCCGATTAAACGTTCATACTTACTTCCGAGACACACCAAATATCCCCTGCAACAGTTTGGTGTTTTGGCATGGAAAACATTTGCCGGTGACGTTTACGTCAAATGGCGTGCCGGGCTTATACGCAGACAGCGAGGAAAACCCGTACACGACACTATCCACGTCAACCTCGACCGGCTTCATTTTACAGACGTCGTTCAACGTGAGTGCGGTAAACTAGAAATTTAAATTAAAAATCACTGTACAAAACACTATCCTCCCCAATAGCTTTGAAAATAATAAACTTGAAAAAATACCCTAACACACCCAACATGGAAAATCGTCCATAAAAACATCCCCTAACCATAGATTTTGACCTTGAAAACATCACCTAAACATCCACCGACAAAAAAACCTAACTAAAAAACCTTCCCCCTTTGACATCACAATACATCCCCAAAACATACCAAAAATATTTTGAAAACATGCTACAAATAAATTTGCTTACCCTCACTAGAGTGATGTGGAATTGGATAATAGACAAAAAAATGTATATCAAAATGCCACTTACCCCAGGTTGCGGACGATCTGATTGCTCTTGGTCTAAGAACAAGCTGTCGGAGGAACCGGCAATCGGTGGCGGCTGAGATTCCTAAAAAACGTAAAATTGTATAAATCGAAAATCAAAATTCGTAAACAAATATCAACACAAACATAAAACATGAACTTGCGAGTAAAAAAAATTATTAGATATATACGTGATAAACTTACGTGCGATGGTCCGACGACAGATTGGCCTGCACTACTAGTCTGTATAACAAAAAAACATGAAGTCACTAAAAATGACAATGAAAAAATAAATAAAATATACTTACTGAAGGTCCTTGATCCATTTCAGGTAAATTGGAAAAATTGGATATAAAGGACAAAAACAAAACGACAGAATATCTAAAACAAAAAAAAATTTTAAGTTAGAATATACAGCTTTCGTTAAAATTTCGTGGAAATTGATCTGGCGACTTAATCACTGATGTCCCCCCGGTTCCGGGGTCTCATACACGCTAAGTTATGCATGGCTAAACTTCTTTTATTGTGGGGGGAAAGTACCCCGAATATGGGGGGACCATTTAGAGGGTCTCGAAAGATCATTTTTTGGTGGTAAAACGGGGGACCCAAGTTGATACGCGACAGAGATATATTTAAATCAAAAAAGGTGCTCTGCTGTACTGTAGGTTACAAGTGGGTTACTGTGTAATGGATGATATTAAATTTGAATTCAATGATATAATATCATTGTATAAGAAAACGATTCTGAGCGGAGACGGTATGTCAGTCTAGGCTTATAACATATTATATACATATCTATGGTATTAAAAAAAATTGACCTACAATAATTAATAGGTACCTATAATAAATTCCAAATTAATCATATCACAATATCCATTAGGTACTTATAGTGCGTTATACATCAACAACAAACCGTGATACTATCATAGATATGTAGTAGTATAGGTACTTTAGAAGTTTCAATTACCCACGAATAATATACAATAATATACAATCACAACAAAATAACTAAAATAGTTATTCTAGGTTTTCAATATGTAATTTCATCCAAATTTGAACTTAAAATGACTATAAAAATAAACTGTGCTTATGTATATTTTAGATTTTTGGTAACAGAATTAACTACTTACAGGGAATCTTGTTTTAAATTTTCAATCCATAGATATAAAAGTTGAACATTTTATACATTTTTAACTACAAAATAATTATTCAATTTTAAATTTGATAAATTTTGTCAAAATTCGATCTTTAAATGCTTGTAAAAAAAATTGTGCCTATGTATTTTAAATATTTTTCAACTGATATTGTAACAATATATCAGGAGCCTTGTATTAAATTTTTACACTTTTTGGCCTAACAGATAAAACTTTATCGATATTTATAGAAAAACAAAACTAAAAAAATTGAAAACTGAAAATGTCAGTAACAGCTCAAAAAGAGTCAAAATATTTTTAAAACCGTATGGTGTATAGGAAATGCTAATATGAACATTCAGTTAAATTTTTATGTATCTACAGTTATTCGTTTTTGAATTACAACAAAATAAGGAAATCGAGTGAATATCCAATGTTGTAAAAATGTGAATTTCAAACGCTCATAAAAATTTAATTTGACATTCTTATAGACATTTTTTTTTTTTTGGTAAAGGTAGATAATCTTATAAGGAAACTTCTATTACATTTTAAAACCTTAGATTTAAAAAGAAAAATGTTTACGAATTCTTAACTCAAAATAATTTGCTAATTTTCGTGATTTTTCCATATTTTGCCAATTTTCGAACTTTAAAAGCTTATAAAAAAAAACTGTGACTAAGGATTTTTAATATTTTTCATCTGCTTTTGAAACAATATACTAGGAGCCTTCTATTAAATTGTCAAGCTTTTTTAATCAACAAATACAATTTTATTGATATTTTTAGAAACAAAACTAAAAAAAAAATGAAAACTGACAATGTCCGTAAAGAGCTCAAAATAAGTCAAAATAATTTGAAAATGTTATGGTGTATAGAAAATGCTAATATACACATTCAGTCAAAATGT